GACGTCCTTCAGATGAGACGTAAAACCGAGGTCCTGACTCTCTGTGGTCATTAAAAATCCCAGGGTGTTTCTTGAAAAGGGTAGGGGTGTTACCCCAGTGTCCTGGCCAAATTTCCCCCTGGCCTTTCCCAGTCATGGCCTCCTAATAATCCCCCTCTCTGAACTGGCTTCATCACTCTGCTCTCCTCCCCACTGAGAGCTGGTGTGTGGGGAGAGGACTGGTGGGGCTGCACACTGGTGGAGGGGATTCCCAGATCCTTCATCTAAAACAGCCATTTTAGCCAGCAGCTATTTATGTATTCTTATCCAGTTTCTACCGGCTGTCATCTACGTGTTCTGGCATTGTGACCCACTCATTTTTTATCTTCTAAGTTTTATCTTCTAAAAGTTCAGGTAGTGTTAGCATACAGGAGAGTACAGTAGCTTCATATAGTATGAGGCAAAGGCACGAATGTCACTAGTACAAGAGTAATCCAGATAAATGAATATCATAGTGAGCAATCATAAGATAGTCAATAGTAATCAATATCAATGATTGAATAATCTTATGGCACATGTACCCCTTCAGTCCCTTTACAAATCTATAAAAAAAGGAAAAACCTATAATCAAATGTATCAGCATACATATCAAACACGAAATTTGCATGTCAGTCCTTTAAGACTAGTGTGCGGGGGTATTTCTATAGTAGGGGATACACCGTTTAACTCGTTACAGAGTCGAGTTCTACAGCTACAGGAGGCCCGGCCTTTGGACATAGCGGAGTTCGCCGCAGTGCAGGGCGTGGCGACCCGGGTCCGCCGCTCGCTCTGAGGGAAGAGCTGCACCGGTCACTAATACCTGAGCACACACACAGGCGAAGAAGGTCACGAAGATCCGTCAGTGGATCTAAAACTGCGTGGCGACATAACAAAGGTCTTGCGCCACAAGCAACCCCTGTAGCTTCAGTTTATTGGACAACACGCCCGTTATTCTGCGCCGGTACTGGTATGTGTGCGTCATGACTTTAAAGTAACAGACAAGGCTTCGTTCTCCGCAGGGTCTGCATCCGGTGGGGGCAGCTTTAAAAATCCTGTTCCTCACCTTAAATCTCGTCACTATCTGTTAAGTGTCTACACCCCGAGCGTCTTTTCCAAATGTAAACTTCAAACTCGTTTTGCGGTCTTCTGTGCCGGGAATAACCGGTATTAATTCTCCTCCATAGATAGAAACAGAGCTCAGATTCGTCTGTAGCTGCCATTCCACCAGAAATTGAGCCCAATAAGCAGCGGAGAGGGATCCACCAGTAAAAAGAGTCATTCGTTTCAAAAACATTCACAAAAACACGTGTGATTCGAAGCACGGACACTTTAGAGAAAGTTGAGGACAACTACATCGCATCGTCCGCGCTTCCTCATTTATTTTCCCATTTTTCAGTTTCATTTTAAGATCAAACTTTTATTGCAGTCACTCTTGAACTCAAAAACTTAAAAACAAAATAAGTTACCTTTATAAGCGCAGCATAAAACTGTGCGTCTGCTTCACGCCTTGGCCGATTCCAGAAACAACCCTTTGCAGAAGAGAAACGAAAAGCTAACGAAGTTTAAAGGGTCGTCACTGCTCACAGACGCTACTATCTTATCTCTATAAACAAGGAACACTGAAGAAGCTCCCCCCCGAGTGATACTTATCCTTCAGGCGTGCGAGAGGGGTGCACGCCGGGCTTTGTAGTGAAATAAACGTGCGACACCGTCGGGTTCGCGGAGCACAAGCCTAATTCCTACAATTCCCAGAAGGCAGCTGGGCCCCTGTAATTGCAGCCGGTTTCCTTCGGGGAAATTCCGAAACGGGGCAATTCCCCGTCTATAGATGTCACTCGGGTAATTCACTACGGTCAATTGGACGCGTTTAGCTTCAAGGTCAAGCCTATAAATTGTTAATCCAGTAAGCCACTGAAACGTTACATATATATATATATCAGAAAGCTTTTAAATGGGATTCATTTCCTGACGTGAGTGTCGTATATTTTGCCTGTCTGTGATCTGTGATCATTTCTTAAATCATGTGCTGGGAAAGGGGTTGCCAGTTTGAAATCAACGGCAATGTTTCTAGCTTGAAACACAGGGGGACATAAAGCGATATCGTTTGAGATATAAACGACCTCTATTCTACGATAAAGCCCTGTTGTGCTCTCCGGAAGGCTTTGTTTTTTTGTGTGCAAATGATCTCACAGCACAGAGAAACACGCCTTACCCTCGCAATAACCCGCTGCCCTCGGGGATGGCAGTTATGTGTCATCCATGACAGGATATATCCAGAACAGTGCCTGTACGAAAGTCTGCTCCCTCTTGAAACCCCTCGCATCCTGGAGTTTCAGTGCCTCCAGAGTTTCGCGTATTTCAGTGAGGATTTTTTTTTTGTGTCACGCCGTACTCCACACATTTAAGGGCAGAAAAAAATATCTTATTGGGGAAATACATTTTGAAATACAAAACTGAAATATCAGAATTGTGTACCAGTCCCCGCCTCCCTGAGTAAATTATTGGTGTAGTTTCCTTTGGCAGCGGTTACAGCTGCGAGTCTGGAGACAAGATCACTTTATTTGTCATATACAGTTTCTTGTATTAGGATTTTATCTTTTCACAGACCCCAGCTTGCTCTCCATGAGACACACAGACAGGGAGAGAAGCTTGGGGTCAGAGCGCAGGGGCAGCCATTTATACGGCACCCCTGGAGCAGCTGGGGTTAAGGGCCTTGCTCAGGGGCCCAAGGGAGTAGGATTCCTCTGCCAGCCGTGGGATTTGAACCGGCAACCTTCCAGCCACAGGCGCAGATCCTGAGCCACAGAGCCACCGCACCCCTGCAAATAGGGGGAGAGGTTGGTAGAAAGAGGTGAATATTAAACCAGAGCAGTAGGTAAAATCCGAGCCATGACAGTTCTAGAGTAGAGAAGTGTACTGTTCGTGTACACTGGTATTGCTGTTTGCGCCAATCTCTAAACGCAGGCACAATACTGCAGGCGACACATCACAACAGACAACACCACACAATAGACAGTAGACAGTATATTACAAACATGATAAATAATAACAACCAGAACAATGCTGTATGTTGTGGAGAACAATTAATATGTGGTAGTTAAAAGCAAGAAATATGTGTTTGTCCATGCAAAAAGTGCACAGTGAAGAGGTGCATTGAGTTCTGAGGTATTGCATTATTATTAACAAGCCAATAACACAGCAATCTATATAACACAGAACCTTAAAACAACAACACATATACCACTCGCACTACATACAAAACTATGCTTTTCAGAAGTCTTCCTTCTACAGGCCCAAACGTCCTGCTAGCCCAAATCACTGTGCAGCACCTCGACAGGCCAGGAAGCCTGTCCTAAATCAAGGGATCTGACCCAAGACTAAATCTGCCTTCCTGCAGCATGGATGTCCAAAAGTGAATGGGAATCTGTCCTCCTATTCTAGAGGTGCGCCGCTAAATTAGGAGAGCACGATTTTAGCTTGAGGATTCCACAATCAAGGAAATTAGAATTTCCTTATATCTCTATATCTAGGTATCTCCCTTGCTCTAGAAAAAAGGTTCAGGTTACTTAGCCAGAATCTGGTCTCCCAGACCGATCAGAACAGGGTCTTCTTGCAGGGCGCAGGCTCCGAGGAAGAGGAGGGTGACGGTGACTCTCCTGTTTCTGTCTCCTTCACTCCTGGTCTTTTCTGTTTTTTTTTACACTGTGGTCCTGTGTTGAAACATCTAATGACGTCTCTAGAAGTTCATTAACTAGAGTAAGCCAGAAAAAAAATCTCTTTGATTGTTTGTGTTTACCAATTTCGCAACCCCAGCTATAGATGGCAGACACATCAAATGACATCTATTGTTTTTTAGTTTTCTGTGTTACACACACCTTCATTTTCTAACCTCTTTATCCAGTACAGGGTTGCAGGGGAGCTGTAGCCTATCCCAGCAAGCAACGGGCACAAGGCAGGACACACCCTGGATGGGACACCAGTCCATCACAGGACACACACACACACCATGGTAAATTTTCCCAGAAGCCAATTAACCCACTAGCATGTCTTTGGACTGCGAGAGGAAACTGGAGCACCTGGAGCAAACCCACACAAACACAGGGAGAACATGCAAACTCCACCCAGACAGCACCCCAGGGATTGAACCCAGGGCCCCAATGCTGTAAGGCAGCAGGTCTCCCCACTGTACCACAGTCCCACTGTCAAATAATCCAAATTGTAAATACATTTAATAATTTAAAGAAGTTCCAAATAACATAATATAACAATACAAATGATTATTATAGTATTTTTATACAGGCAAGCAAATAATGCTGTCTTTGCACTGCCCTGGGTTCAGTTTCTGTTTTCATCTGAAACCTCGTTGTGCTAAAACACAAAGGTTAGATGTGTCCTGTGATGGACTGGCGTCCGGCCCCTGGTGTATCCTGCCTTGCCCCCATTGCTTTCTGGGATAGATTCGGGCTCTCCTGTGACCCTGTACTGGATAAAGTGGTAAGGAAATGCACGGGAAATGTCCTTTCATTCATATTCCTGTGACTCGGGAATGATTCGCCTAAATCAGCCCATCCTTATTTTAATACACTGGAGCTCTCTCCGTGAAAAGTGATCTCAACGGGTTGAACCGCGGTGGAAGTGTTATGACCATTCGGACAGAAAATAAAGCCAAATTCTAAAAGAAAACATTTTTTTTTTATCTTCCATATTCTAACACTGGAGTTGGAACAGAGTGTTGAAAACGCGGTCGGTTTCATCATTCCGTGACCTCGTGAGTCCACCAGCTGACTCGTCGCGGAAGGGAATCACAGCCGTGTTTAAATTTGGAATGATCTACAGCGCAATAGTCAATGTTTGTTGGCTCAGCATGTTAAATTATGTCGAGTTTGAGAATGAATATCACCATGGTTTTCGTCCAAATATTACTGGATGATATTCAAATTATTTACCGCCTTGTAATATCTATTGTATTGTGCGCTTCCCGAAAGAATCATCCGTGTACTTGTACAGTACACACAGTATGACAAATCAACTCCGTTTCAAAATATTGAGCAAAATCATTACAACTAAAAGTAACTCAAATGAGGTGGTCCTAACTGAATGTATTCTGAATACCGTACTCTCAAGCTAAACAGTAGGTTTACCGCGAAGGCTTTAAAAATTATATGTGATGTAACAGTGGAAAGTCCCGGAGACCTTGTCCTTTTTTAAAATGAAAACGGTGCTACTTCCCTGCGCTTGAAAGAGTGGTACCGCAAATATCAGGCCTCTCTTTAAACTTAAAAGGGGAGAGAGAACAGTTCAAAACCGCCTTCGACGATCTTAGTATTTTCATACGATTCAACTGGGCGGGGGTGACGTTCATTAGCGTGACAAGAAGTGATCAGAATCCCCAGCAGAATTTGTTTGCATTTATACAGGTTTTGTCAGGTTTGAGTTTCACACCAGCAGTGAAAAGCTGAATTCTGATTCTAGACGAATTAATCTGTTCTCAAAAGATCGGAAGGAAGAGACGGGCCGTGCAGGCACGCAAACTATTTTTTTTGTTATTTAGAAATTATTTACAAATAAAGTACTTTGTACAGTACATCATTCTTTTCACGATTCCTTTGAACGAATCATACCGAAAAGATAAGGCTCCAGATTTTTCGCTTGAGTTCTGAGGTATTGCATTATAAATATAAGGGGCCTGATCACTTATTTACCTGTATCGGATTTTGTTTGGTGAAAGGATTTTTAATTATTAATGAACAAGACGAGAAAACCACAGGAGCTCTCTCGTCCCTGCGCTGGGTGCGGTCCTGTCAGTCGCTCCAGGCTCCAGACACTCCACAGGAAGTCCCGCCTAACCAGGAAGAAGAGCTACCTTAAGAGCCGAGCCGGGTGAGTGGAAGGGAACATAAGTTTTGTTTTTTAAAAGTACTTGCAAATACGGTACATGGACGTAAATACGACTTGAAACTCGTGTACAGAGAATGAATCTGAAACGAAACGTGTGTGTCTAACAAAATAGGAGTTTAAAACGCTGGCCAGCATCTATTAATACATGTGTAACTTATTAAATATAAGGTTCAATAATGTATCTTATTTCCCAGGCGCCGGGATGGAAGGGTACACCTACAGTTCTCAACAGCGTTTTACAAAACACCTAACGACATGGCAGAAAACGGAGCAGAGTTAAAGGGTCCGAGCAAAGCTAAATTCAACATTGAAAAGCTATACCACCTGCTGGTTTTCATTCCAGCAGAAACAGTTACCTTCATGAGACAACTGAAGCCTTACTGGATCGAAGAAGGTGCTTCAATAGAAACTTGGTTTCTAGTCACATGCGGGGTTGACCTCTACTCCGGAACAAACAAAGCTTGAATTGAATTATTTTGGGCCTCGTGATCTCCTTAGTTTACATTGTTCTGTTCTTTTCCAGATACTGTATCCTCCCTGCCCTCGGTGATCGTCACTGCTGGGGCCTCTTGCTTGTGGGAAAAGCCCAGAGTGTAGCTCTGTCTTCTCCAGTGAGCACCCAGTGTGTCACTATTGACACTATGGACCTGGACAAGGACATGGATAGCCAGGAGGTGGTTGCGATGCTGGAGGAGTGCAGACAGGCTACACTGGCCGGACCAGCTGAGGTGTCCGAGGACGTCGAGGAGCAGTGTCAGAGGTGTCAAGGTGGGATTCAAAAGACGCAGATTTAAGTGCAATAGAACCAACTTATCCTGTACTCCCATGACTGTTAACCTGCTTACTTTGGACAGCTAAACTAAAACATGCTGAAAAAAAGAAGAAAGAGAACACAAAGTTTCGGCAGTGGAGCCTTCTTCAGGTGAAGAAGGCTGAAGAAGGCTTCTGAAGAAGCCTTCACACCGGGGTGTCCCTACTCTTATCGAGAAACGCCCGGGGATCTTTAATGACCCCTGAGGCTCGGGACCTCGGTTTAACGTCTCATCTGAAAGATGATGCCCACTACACTGTAGTGTCCCCGTCACTATACTGGGGCATTAGGACCCACACAGACTGCAGGGTGAGCGCCCCCTACTGGCCCCACTAACACCTCTTCCAGCAGCAGCCTCAGCTTTCCCAGGAGTCTCCCATCCAGGTACTGGCCAGGCTCACACCTGCTGAGCTCCAGTGGGGCTGCCAGCTGGGAGCTGCAGGGTGATGTGACTTAAATATGTAGTAGTGAGACCAAAAAAACCATGGTAGAACATGCACAAAGCGCACAGGGTATGGCCACCCCTCCTTCCTCAGTAGCTCCTCCCCCTGTCAGCCTGGCAGAATCCGCAGTCTGACGAGAAACCTGCTCCTCCGAGTGGTGGTGTCGCCCCCTTGTGGTTCCAGTCAGAACTTCAGGGGGCCAGCCTGCCGCCGCTGGTGCTGAAAGGCCGCCTCGGTCATCCCGGTCCCGTCAGTAAGCCTTGTCTCCCGCAGGCTCTCTCCCAGCCGACCTGAGGACTCTGCTTCAGGAGGCGGGGGAGATGAAGTGGCCTTTCGTGCCGGAGAAGTGGCAGTACAAACAGTCCGTTTCTCCGGAAGACAAAACAGACCTCAAAGACCTGATCAGCAAAAACCTTCCCAAGTTACTGGTATGGAACCGTGTGCTTGTGTTTTATCCCTTTCAAATGAAATTAAGAAGTCTCCTTAAAGTTGTCATGTCTGTTTTGAACATAACTAATGCTAAACTCATTAAATTCATATTATTTGCTCTAATGTATAGACATGCAAGGAGAGCACAGTGGATAACATTGCTGGCTCACAGCGCTGGGGCCCTGGGTTCGGTTCCTGGGGTGCTGTCTGTGTGGAGTCTGCATGTTCTCCCTGTGTTCACATAGGTTTCCTCTTGGTTTCCTCCCAAGACATGCTGGTGGTTTAATTGGCTTCTGGGTGAACTGGCCCTGGTGTGAGTGTGCGTGTCTGTGTGTGCCCTGCGATGAACTGACATCCTGTTGCTTGGTGGCATGGACCCCTGCTCCCCATTGACCCTGATTTGTCACACACCTGACAAAGGCTCCGCAACTTAAAGGTTGTTTTTCATTGCTTTTCTTACCTTTCAGCACAGAACAAACCTTTACCTGTTCCTTTGCAGCCTGTGCATGCTGATGTAAAACCTATACATGCTGACGCAGCTACCTGCTTGACTTTCTCTCTGCTAAAATACTTAAACTGAGGAATCCCTATGTTAGAAAGTGAATTTAAATTAGTTGTAAACATTGTTGCTGTTATTAACGATGTAACTACTGTATGATGCAAGGGGATCAACCCACTCTGATCTTAAAGATTTCTTTTATAAAAAAGTAGCAAGTCTTTGGACTGTGGGAGAACATGCAAACTCCACACAGACAGCACCCCAGGAGTTTAACCCAGGGCCCTGGCACTGGGAGGCAGTAATGCTGAACACTGTGTCACTGGGCTGCCCTTTTAATCCTTAATCTGAGTCCTTCCAATGCCAAATATTTGTTTGGTGGAATTTTTCTGTAGTTCCAAAACTCTTGTTGGTGTGTGTCTTGCCTCTCCCCTTCTTCTGCTCTCTTCTCTATATAGCGTGGTACTCATAAAAATATAGTCTTCACTTTTCATTGATCGGAAAGAGCTGATCACCCCACGGTCTGGCTGTCTGCTCTGGGCTGCAGGTGTCAATATTTAAGGCTTCCTGTCTTGTTAGATCTCTATATAGGCTCCTGGGTATTTCCATCTGATCGTTTACGTAGCAGTGCTGCACACAGTATCAGCACGTGATTACTGCAAGAGACCATGCATGTTTAGTTCTTGTCTTGGACTTACAATGTGTACCTGTAGCTATACAGTGCCTGATATTGGAATCTACAGGTACAAACAGAGGGTAACGATCGCAGTTTAAATCTCACAAAGGGCACTACAGAATCACACGAGCAGAGATGAGCGTCAATAACTGGGCCTGGTATGAAAGCCCAGGCTTTAAGAAAGGTCCCATAAGACTGTAATTCACGATCCCTAAAGGTGATCTCCTGTTCTCTTTTTCTTTTTCTCTTGCAGAATTATTTGAAAGCTGCCATCGTGGCTGGGGACTCCGTTTCGGCACTCTCCGCTGCCTTCTTGATCGACCGTTTTCTGTACTGGGTAGATGCTTCCCACAAGCTCCTGCAGATAGCCAAGGCCCTGCACAAGCGCTATCCCACAACCCCCGTCGCGCCCCAGCTGGTGATCCGACAGGCCCGGCTGTCCGTCAACACAGGTGACTGTCCGCCTCTTGGCTGACCTCAGTCAGGAGAGCCTGGATTTCGCCGGAACAGATTTACATTGGCAGTCGCTTTTATTACTGCGGGGTGCTTAACTGCGGCACTGTGGGTACCTTGCACAGGAGGACAACAGCTGTGCCTCACCTGGGGTTTGAACCCGCAAACCCTTTGGACCAGGTGCTTGTCCCCCCAAACCAAGGGGGATCAAACCAAACATTTTTTTTTTTAAATCTTTGTTTTATTGAACGTAACAATGTCACGTCTTGGCTGGGGTATGGTCTGTGTCTGCTGGAAGTGTTACATGTGATCCTGGGATGTTACTGACAGAACTGTGCTCTATCAAGTGCCTGATGACACAAGATAATCATCACCTTGTTGCCTTTTGCCACAGGCAAATTACAAAAAGCGGAGTTCATATTGAGCAGCCTGATCAATAACAGCGGGGCAACAGGTAAGTGAAAGTTTTTCTATCTGCGTATTTATAAACTGAAACAGAGCATGTCTCATTACCATACATGTTCCAAAGAGCTAATACCTAGATCTGTTAAAAATACTAACTAAACCGAACAGCCAAGCATTTAAGGAAAGTGTGAGATATTTCTGATCTATTTAAAATATTTTCCCTTTTCAAAAAGATTAAGAGCCCAAACACAAGAGGCATAAAAGTGCATAACTGCAGAGTGAGCTCTCGAGATCCTCTTCTGCTCTTCCATAGTATCTATTCTCTAAGCGCATTACCCAGAGGGTCACAGGGGAGCCGGAGCCTATCCCAGCAAGCAATGGGCGCATGGCAGGACACACCTTGGACGGGACACCAGTCTGTCACAGGACACACACACACACACACACCAGGGCAGATTTTCCCAGAAGCCAACTAACCCACCAGCACGTCTTTGGGCTGCGGGAGGAGACTGGGGCAGAGATTATTATGAGGGGGAATTGATTCAAGTATGGGTGGCAGTGGTTAGCGTTGCCGGGTTCAATTCCTAGGGTGCTGTCCTCGCGGAGTGTGTACGTCCCCCCCCGTGTTCGAGCCGGTTTCCTCTGGGAGCCCCCCTTTCCTCCCCCAGTCCAACCCCGCCTTAGATAAAGCAGTTAGCAAACAGATGGATGATTCAAGTGCTCTTTGTCAAAGCCACGTCAATGCAGAAGCCTTCCAAATGGGCAGTAAGACACTGGCTACCCTCGTGTATCTGGGACCCTTCCGCCGCCTGCTAGCGTGGAAAGTGTCAAACGTGACGAGATCACTCTGACAGCACGGGCCCCGTGGTGTGTCTCTGCCACAGGATGCTGGGTTTACCAGCAGGAGAGTGACCGGACCCTGGTACAGGCCGTCAGCATCCAAATCAGGGGGCAGATTCTGCAGAAACTCGGTGAGCTCTCGAAACCCGGCGGCGTCTTGCGCTGAGTGAGCCTGTGTGGAAGTGATGAAAACCTCAGACGTGGTCAGTCGCTGGATCTTGTAGGGCAGGGGTCTTGGCTTGGCCTAATTATTTAATTAGGTAATTAATAGGGGACTGTAGTTTGAATCACATCACTTTATTGGCCCTTTACAATTTCTTGCATGAGGAATCCGCTGTAAAAGGGCTTTAGAATTTAGAATTTAGAAGAGGGTTCTAATTGTTTAATTGATAACTCCGACTGGAATAAAAAGCAGAAGATGCGGCCCCACAGGAGCTGATATTTTAGAAATTGTCCTGGCTGAACTAGAATTATAAAACCAGTCCAGTTCTTATAGACGCAGTCCCACCAAGCATGAGATTATTAAAACTGGTTTTTCTGTAAGAGTGTCACCAGGCAGCTGGATCTGGAGTATCAGGTGAAGGGTTGAGCCAGCAGAGGGCAGTGGTGAGACACTCCACAGCCAGAGGTAAAAACCACAGATTCACAAGGCAACTGGGGAACTGGCCAGTTTAAGTATTTACAGTAGGCTCATGTTTAAGGTTAGTGAGTAAAAGTGTCCTGGTCGACTCAGGTTTGGGTCAGACCCTCACTGTTTTACCGGACAGTGAGGATCTGATTTCCAAGAGTGTCCCTGTGGTACGTGGCTCCTCACTGCCCGCCTGAAAAAAAAATTGCAGGGTGCTGTTTCACCCTCATTGCCCAAACCATGTTTTCCGATCTTCCAGGACTGTGGCGTGAGGCTGCGGAACTGGTCTGGGCTTCTCTGATCGGATTCTGTGCGCTCCCCCAGCCAGATAAGAAGGTTTAAAAACATCTTTTTCTTCTGAATTGAACAATTCTTCAGGGGGTCTCAATCTGAAGAGTTCTTGCAGTGTAAAGTAAGCCTGGATAAAAAAACAACAACCGGACAGATGATTTCAGGGTAATCTGCTGTGTGTGTTCCTCTAAGGGGGGATGTTAGAGTCTGGTGTGTTCCAGGCGATGTACCGTATGATACAGGTTGAACAGATAAAATGCACAGTGCATAATGACAGGTGCTTTTGCAGAAGCTTTTATACTGTAATGTGCCAAAGACACTTTCACTAACCCCCTCCTCTGGTTTGTTCAAGGGCATTGGAACATCCCTGGGACTGCTGGCCAATATTCTGGCATCAATGAATGATCAGGAGTACGAAGCCTTTAAGACGAGCCCACATGTTGACTTTGTGAGTCAGCATCCATCCACTCTTACATGGCAGACGTACTGTAAACTGCACTTTGCAGTTCTCTTCCACTGCAGCGTTGTGCGCGAACTCACAGCGCACACGCCAGTAACCTCGAGCTTTTTTAACCAGCCCTGTTAGAGCACTGGCTGAGGGTAATGCGTTATATCTGTACTAGTCTGATATTTGGGGTTTTTGAATTATTTTGAGTATAAACATGACAGGGGTGGCACAGTGGCCAGCATTGCTGCCTTGTGGCGCTGGGGCCCCGGGGTCAGCTCCTGGGGTGCTGTCTGGGTGGAGTTTGCATGTTGTCCCCGCGTTTAAGTGGGTTTCAAGTCCAAACAGTCCGAAGACATGCTGGTGGGTTAACTGGCTTCTGGGAAATGTGGCCCTGGTGTGTGTATCTGTGTCAATGACGGTCCTGTGATGGACGGGTGTCCCGTCCAGGAAGTCTCCTGCCTTGCGCCCGTTGCTTGCTGGGATAGGCTCCGGCTCCCCTGCGACCCTTTACTGCATAAAGCAGTTAGAAAATGGGCTGGTAATACGTATTGCATACAGTTTACTAAACTGAGTTTCAGGGTCAAATCTATAAAAGTGTTTCCCCTGTCATATTCCAAGCCTGGTGACCCACACACTTGTTGGCTTGTGTTCCAGCCAGTCCCTCAGTTCCACCATCACCAGCTTCATCAGAATCAGACTCATGTGAACTACTTGCTCCCAGCTCTTCAGCATGATGAAACTTTAACTGTTGTGTTGTGTAAGTGAAATAAAATCCCCAGCTAGAAACAAAATGTCAAACTATTCAGTTGAACCAACTTCCTTGATCCAGTGAGGCTTCGGTTGTCTCAGGAAGGTCATGATTTGCACTGGAATGGGAACTCGCAGGTGTGTGAGGCACCGGAACCGGGATTTTTGAAAATGGACGAGTGGATAAATGCCTGGCAGAAACGCCAGCGGTCAGAGCAAACCGCGCGAGACGTACCCCCCAGGAGCCGCAAAAACGAGACCCCGCCGCCCTGTGTTGCCATAAAAAAAAAAATTAAGCAACTACGCCATCATAGCGAAGATCGATTCCAGTGTTTTGTCATGCCACTTCTGAAAAAATGTAAGAAAATCAGGCATTAGAATTCAGTTTTGGAAAGAAAACGCTGCAGTGTAAGGGGGCGTGATCAATTGTAACTGTCTGCGGGTTTCGTCTTTCCCCAGAGCTGTCTGAAAGAGCAGGGCCACCGGCTGCTCTCGGCCGCTGAAGCCGCCCGGCGGGCCGTGGTGTGCAGCCGCTTCTCCCCGCTGTTTGTCCTGACGAACGCGGTGGGTGGTCGTCCTTCCCGACAGCGCCTCTGACCACGGGTCGCCCCCTGGGAAGCAGTAATGCCAGCAGCCACATCACCCGGCAGCCCCCAGCTGGCAGCCCCCCTGGAGCTCAGCAGGTGTGAGCCTGGCCAGTACCTGGATGGGAGACTCCAGGGAAAGCTGAGGCTGCTGCTGGAAGAGGTGTTAGTGGGGCCAGTAGGGGGCGCTCACCCTGCAGTCTGTGACAGGGACGCTATACTGTAAAAAGGCGCCGTCCTTCGGATGAGACATAAAACTGAGGTCCTGACTCTCCCAGGGTGTTTCTCGAAAAGAGTAGGGGTGTTGCCCCAGTGTCCTGGCCAAATTTCCCCCTGGTCCTTCCCGATCATGGCCTCCTAATAATCCCCATCTCTGAACTGGCTTCATCACTCTGCTCTCCTCCAGGTGGGGCTGCACACTGGGGGTGGATGGGTGTCCAGAAAAGCACTATAGAAGTGTAAGGAATTATTATTGATAAAAAAGCTGAACATTTACACTGGCCCTCACCATCACGGGTGCAACACCAGGCCGATCTTACCGAAGAGCAACTGTAAGGAGGAAACCACACCAGCTAGTCACTTCTCGACATCTGTTAAATGTCAGTTAACTGCAACAAAGAACATGCTTGTTGCAGAACATGGACCCCTACTTGTCCCACTAACACCTCTTCCAGCAGCAGCCTTAGCTTTCCCAGGAGTCTCCCATCCAGGTACTGGCCAGGCTCACACCTGCTGAGCGTCAGTGGGGTCACCAGTTGCAGGGTGATACAGCTGCTGGCAGACAGGAGGGGGTGACAGCAGGCTTGGGGCACCTGCTGAGAAATTCGAAATCCCCCCTTTTCAGAATCCGAGCTAATGTCGGCGGTGACTTTATTTTAGTACACATGGTTGTTATGAGGTCAGTGCTTCTACACGTTTTGTAATCGAGTTCGTTCTGGGCTTCTTTGAAAGCAGCTTTGGGCTATGAGTCCCGGCCCCCTTTAAGCTGTTGTTAACAAACTGGAAAGTCTCTATGGATTTATCACCCCTTCATAAAAAAAAAAATCTGATTTGCTGTTTTCATCGAAGACTCACTTTGCTTCTTTCTTCTTTCTTTTTGCTGAATTGGGCGCAAATTTTATATTTGCTAGATGAGACTTTATTGATCGCAAAGGGAAATTGATGTGTTACAGCAGTCCAGCCCAAGACAAGACAAAAAAACAGACATCAGAAAGGATGAAACATTACAATAAGTACGGCAATACAAAATAAATATAAAACAAATAAATAAATACATAGGGGTGTGCAAAATGCGCTCATAGTCACTGTAAAAAGAATCAAATCTGTGCAAACTGTGCAGAGATTGATAGCGGCTGTCTTTATTGCAGGTCATACAAGGGACATGCCTGCTGTCCTACGGTCTCTCGGAAGACTGCCCGCCCGCAGAGAGGCGGGCCTTTCTGGGCCGGGCCAAGGAGGCGTTCGAAATCGGCCTGCTGACCAAGACGGAGGACGACTCCGTCGCCAGCCGGCAGGAGCTGCACACGTTTGTCAAGGCCGCCTTTTGCCTGGCGGCCGCCCACCGGTGGCTGGGGCTGGGAGAGGAGGCCGCGGCGCGGGCGGAGCGGACGTGCCGCGAGGCCATGGGCCTGCTGTACGCCTACGCCTCGGCGAGGGGCCGGGAAAAAGACCGGCTGTCGCAAGGCATCATGGGGCTCGTCGGCGGCGCGAAGGCCGCGCTGGGGGTCGCGGGGTTCCCCAAGTCGGACGGGAAGTCGTACGTCCCCGATAGCTACCTGGTGAGGGAGGAGGATCTGTTCCGGGTCCGGCCGGATGGTTTCCACGGCGTCGTGAGGAGGTACGCCCAGTACCACGCCTCGGTCTGCGAGGCCTTCCAGTCCCCTTGCGGGCACCCCAGAACCGGGACGGGGGGCTCCGGGGGCGCCTGCATCACCGCCTTGAAGACGGCGACCGAGGCCCTGGAGACCGAGTGTGGCCCCTGGGGGCGGCGCGGCGGGGCCGAGGCCAGGCGGAGAGAGTTTGCCAGGACGCGGGGGTGCGGGCACGGGGCGGGCAGCCCGGCCGGCGACGGCGGGAGCTCGGGGTCCTCCTCCTGGCACGTGGTGTCGGGCACGGGGTCCTCCGGCGGCTGGGAGGACCTGGGCGACGAAGCGCGCGGGCCCGCCGGGAGGGAGGGGAGAGACGCCGGGACCCTCGCTCGGGGTGATGGGGACGGCGGCCACGGGGGTCCGGGGAGCGGGCCGGACTGGGGTGCCTCGGCCATGCGGGAGCTCCGGCTGGACGGCCCGGGCGACGGGCTGGATCCCGTCCAGCCGGCACGGATGACGACCGCCGCAGCCGGTACGGGCTCCCCGGAGTCCGCGGCAGATTCCGCAAGGCCGGGAGCGGCAGGGACGTTCCCGTTCGGTGCAGACGGGCAGACGTTTGCGGCTAAGGGGAGCGGCGGCGTCCCCGCGTGCCGCGAAGACGCCGAAACTGAGGACCCTTCGCTGGGCGAAACCGATGACGTCTCTCCCCCGCCGCCCCTGCC